CTCTCTCTCTCTCTCTCTCTCTCTCTCTCTCTCTCTCTCTCTTTTCTTCCAAGCAGTGTCTCATGTAGCCATTCCAGACTCAAACTCACTACGTAGCCAAGGACAGCCTTGAACGTCTGATCCTCCAGCTCCACCTCCCAAGGGCTGGGATTAAAGGCATGCACTACCACATCCAGTTCATTATGCAATGCCAGGGAACCCAGGGATGTGTGCATGCCAGACACACACAACCAAGTGAGCTCCTGGCCTTCAAATCCCATGTCTGTATACCCTCACGCCTACTGAAGGGACCTTAGGCATATTGCCTGCACCCAATAGCTGGGACATTGGAGATGTCCCACAGTTGGTGGTGTGAATCCTGTATTTTATTCTCCACATATTCCTGCACAGTCCAGTGCCCAGGAAGCCACATGCCCACCAGGCACCTTCTGCTCTGAATAGGCAGGGCTGCTGTGCTGGGTCCCTCTTCTGGGCATTTGAACAGGCTGTTGTCTCTGGATCATTCTACCTCCTGCCGGCTTGTCCTCACCTCTTGCACACTGTCAGACGCTTTCTTGGCTCTGAGAAATGGCATCTCCCTCAGAAGGTTGTACCCCAGCCTTAGTCTGAATAAGGGGCCCCCTCAGTGTTTCCATTGCTACCTCCATCCCCCAGGGTCTGGTCTCCAGTCCCACAGAGCCCCCCAGAGCTGGTGGAATTCAACAAAGACAGTTTAGCTTGGTCAGATCAGCAGGGCCCAGCTGGTGCCGGAAGCACATAGTAGGCTCAGTCTGCTCAGGCGTGGCCACACTGAGCCACCTTTGAAGCCCAGAGGCAGGACAGGGAGGCTCCTGGTTGTCAAGAGCGGCCAGGCTGCCAGGGAAGCTCTGCTCTGAGTCACACCCACCTCTGGGTGGCTGCCAGTCTCCCTGCCAGAAACCGCAGGCTGGGTCTGTGCTGCCCGGAGTTCGGGCCACAGGGCTCAAGACGCTGCGGGTCAGATCTGGAAAGGGGTGTTTGCCGGACAGACGCTTCTGGTCTCCACAGGCCCCTGAGGGTGGGACAGGGGCCCTGGCAAGGCTGCAGCTGCTGTGGCAGTGGCTTGGGCTGGAGGCCTTGCTTGCTGGGCGCTGAGGAGCTGAGAGGCTCCTGCCGGCTTGTCCTCACCTCTTGTACACTGTCAGACGCCTTCTTGGTGGCCTCAGCGGCCTCAGCTTCAGGTAACTGGGCTCATTCTTGGGACTATGAGGAGAAGAATAAGAACTATATGTTGTGTGTGTGTGTGTGTGTGTGTGTGTGTGTGTGTGTGTGTGTGTGTCTGTCTGTCTGTCTGTCTGTCTGTCTGTCTATCAGTCTGTCTCTCTGTCTATCAGTCTGTCTCTGTCTGTCTGTCTGTCTCTCTCTCTCTCTGTATGTATGTACCTAGTAGGAACCTCATAGTCTCTAGAACATAAAGACTCAGGTCTCGCCTCCCAGGGTTGAAGCTGGCTCCACAAGGGACACGGTGACATGAGAGGCACGCCACTGACCCATCTTCTGACCATCTCCTTCCTCTGCCTACTCTCAATGGTAAGGAATCCTGGTCTTTAAAAGTAGAATTCTGGGCAGATGGATATATGGTCACAACTTAGGACCCTTGGCAGGCCGTACACTGGATTTAGTCTGGTCTCTGTGCCCAGGCTTGCTTCTCTCCCTAGGCTCAGACCACTGCTTCTTGCAAGTTCTGCTGTGTGACCTCAGGTATGTGTCCTTCCCTTTCTGAGCCTCAGCCTCAATCAAATGGGTACAAGAATCCTCTGGGGAGATCATTGAGGAGGATTACTCTGCAGAGGGTAGCACAGGCCCTAGACCAAGGTGAGTGTCCAAAAGAGGACAGTGACCAGGCAGGGACCCTCCAGTCTCCTTCGCAGAAACTAAATCAGATATAAGTGTTGTGTAAGAATAAACCACCAGGACAGGGATGGATGCTGGGGTCTGATTGCAAAGTATAGTGACCCTCTGACCTTGGTCGGAGAGAACAGGAGACAGCTCTGTGGGTAAATGTCCCTCAGTGTCACGTGGGACATTTTTAAAAAAAGATTTATTTATTATGTAGTGTTCTGCCTGCATGTGTCCTTGAAGGCCAGAAGAGGGCACCAGATCTCATTATGGATGGTTGTGAGCCACCATCAGGTTGCTGAGAATTGAACTCAGGACCTCCAGAAGAGCAGTCAGTGCTCTTAACCATTAAGCTTTCTCTCCAGCCCCACATGGGACATTTTTTAAACAGGCTCGTGTGTATTTCCACCTTGCCTCACATTCACAACAGTCTTATAAAGTGTTTTCCTCTTTTAGTCAACTGAGACTCAGAGAGGGTGAGCAATTGTCCAAAGCCACACCGCAAAGAAATAGAACAATAGAAGAGTATCATGATCGAGCCTGGGACAGACACGATGTGTCCTGAGGAGACCCCAGTCTGTGTCTCCACCCCAACCTGGGCAATGCCTTGCACTAAATGTTGAGTTCCCAGTAACATGGAGTTAGGGCCTGGGGCCAATGGAGTGTGGGCATAAGCTTCTCCCTTCCTGGCCCCAAGAGGTCTCCCTCGAAAGCTCAGGACCAACTGGCTTCTGGTTTTGGAAGGAGATGGGGCAGAGCAAGATGCTGGAGTGGGTGGCTTAGTCTCCCCTTCCCCAGGGAGGGAGAGGGGTTCTGAGAGGCCAAGGAAGAGCTGGGACCGGAACAGGGAACCTGGAAACAGCGAAGCCCTCTTGATCAGGGCTGCCTGCGACCAGAGTCCTAGTTACTTGGCCTAGGGATACCATGGCAAACGAGACAGCTTGAGTATGGGGACACGATGGTTAACAAGGGCAGAGGAGAGGAGGGAGGCAGAGGAGGCCGCCTCTTTTATAGACCAGTCAAGGACACTCGCCCTGCCCTGTCACTGTCACTGTCCTTGAACAAATGAGTAGACTGAGGCAGAGGCTCAGCTGTTAATGGAGGAGCCCCTGGAGGGTAACGGGTAGGCACAAGAGTTAACTTTGGACTCTGGCTTCCCAGGAACCTGGATTCTGGTCCTATCCCATTGCTTTCCAGCTGTTTACATCTTGATTTTGACCTGTTTTGCCATTATTATTTTGGACTTTATTTTGAAACAAATAGCCTCTGTAGCCCAGGCTGGCCTGGAATTCACTATGTAGCTCAGGCTAAGTTCAAACTTGAGGTAATTCTCCTGCCTCAGTCTCTCAAATGTTAGTTCATCATCTTTAAATCAGACAAGCTGCCCATACCTCACAGGAGAGTGCAGAAACAGACAGCTTGTCCACACAGCACTCAGAGTAACTGGTATCATTAGTCCTGGGGGTCAGGGCCTGGAGAAGCTGGGAGCTATCGAAGGCCTGCAGCAGGCCAGGGGCTCCGTAGAAGGCTTGTTTTCTGCTCAGTCAGTTCTGGTCAGCCAAGGGAGTTAAAACCGTGCTCTGAAAGTCCGCCTCTTTCCTCCCAGGCCAGCTCCGAGTGAGGTACCCCAGAATGTATTATATCCTATATTGAGGTGACACAGGATTGGAGAGGTGACAGGGTGTGTTCATTACAAGCTCCCAGAGACTGTCCAGGAACCCTTTGGAACCTGAAATTCTGCAGAGTGCCCTGCCTTAGGTGTGAGCCACTGGTCAAGGACCGACGGCTACTCTATGGCGGCCCCTGCTGGCCACAGTGAGAACTGTGGACCCTGGAGAGCAAGTTTTTAGGACTGTGGGTCCAGGGGTAGACAGGATGGGGGCCTAAGGTAAAGGGATCACTGCCTCTTTGGGCCAATTAAGAGGTCTTGGATCTTTAACTTTCTTTTCCTTCATATAAGGTCGTCTACTCCTGCTAAAGATTGGTTCTCCGCTGGTGGGGCAGGCAGTCCGGTACTTCTTGAGTGGTTCCTCTCTCGCGGTCCCCACCCTCTCGGGAACCCACGGCTTCTGGCGTTTCATTTGGGTATTTCTGTCCTGGGTGGGAGGCCCAGTGTGTCACTGGGGTGAAGCCTTGGCCCTGCAATGAATGGGTACTGAGCCCCTGGCTCAGATTTTTGCCTGTTACCGGAGAAGTCTCCTCCTCTGGGGCCATGGGCTTGGCACAGCTCCCAGACTTGGCTATGAGCAATCGTTTTTCCCCACTTAGGAGTTAATTTCCCCATATGTGCAGGGTGGGGTGGAGGTATGGGGTGGGCTGGGCCAGAGAGGCTGTGGACCTAGATGAAGCTAGAAGCTTCTAGACAGCTTACTAAATAGATTGTAAGTCCTGCCTTCATGACTTCTAGTTTCGTGAGTCCCAGAGGAGGCCTGAGAATCTGTATTTTCCCTTTCCTGGCTAATCTGATGTGCACTCAGGGCTAGGAAACACGTTGGATTGTGCCAAGACCAGGGAATTCCACATTCTGTTTGAGGTCTTCAGCCTGAGGGTAAGAACTCACCCAGAACATGTTGGCTTCCCACTTCTCACTCCTCAGGCTCTCACTCTTGCCTTCCTGTGAGTTCATAGGTCAGCCTTTATTGTAATTAGCAAGGATGACCACCAGAGTTAACCACATTCAGGAGGCTGGGGAGTGGCTCACAGGTAAAACACCTGCTGCACACACTTCAGAACCCGAGATCCATCCCTGGCACCCATACATAACAGCCTGGCACAGTGGAACACATCTGTACCACCAGCGCTGAGGGTGTAGAGATGGACAGATCCTCAGGGTTCACTTGGCTAGCCTGTGATCGTCAGGCACAGTGAGAGATCCTGTCTCCAAAAAAAAAAAAATAGCTGGAGAATGATAGAGGCAGCCACGGGATATTGATCCTTTCACATTTATACACATTTACCTGCACACCATGCATACATGTACACACCCCCCTCCAAAAAAAAGCAAACTGTATTGCCAACCTCCTCAGGAGTTAGTGACATCATTTCCTGTCCTCTTCCACAAACGAGGAAACCCAGGCTTGGAGAACTCAAGGACTTTTCAGGCAACTCAACCACTAAGGCAGAGCCTAGAACTGAAACTCTGACCTGGGGTCCTTGCTCCAGAGCACAGTGTCATTCTGCCTCTTAGGAGCACCATGGGATGGTCCCAGTTCAAGGCCAGTTCTGGGTGACACTGAGGCCAAGATAAGGATCCCACACTGTCTGACTCTGCTCCAAAGTGGCCAGTTGTAAGAGTCTCCATACCTTCCACGATAGTCAAAGCTGAGTGAGGTCTCTGTCTTTTCAGGTGAGTGCCCAGCTGTGTCCGACGTCCTGCACCTGTCCCTGGACACCACCCCAGTGCCCGCTGGGGGTGCCCCTGGTGCTGGATGGCTGTGGCTGCTGCCGAGTGTGCGCACGGCGGCTGGGGGAGTCCTGTGACCATCTGCATGTCTGCGACCCCAGCCAGGGCCTGGTTTGTCAGCCTGGGGCGGGCCCCGGTGGCCGCGAGGCCGCGTGCCTCTGTAAGCAGGTTTGCTAGACTAATGGGGGTGGCGTCCAGGCCATGGGGTCCAGAGTCCAAGTGGAGCCCCGCTCTCTGTATCTCTCTGATACAGCTCACTCTAGGAGAGGTCTTCCTTCAGCTCAGCCAAAGCTCCCCTCCAAAGGTTCCTGGGTCCACTCCCTCCCCGTTTCTTCCCTTTTGTCCTCTGCTGGGATATCCTTGGTAGCGATTTCCATTCACACCCATCCAAATCACAGCCAGCTTCCAAAGCTGGGCAAACAGTTGCCCCAAGACAAATGCACAGACCCGTGGGGAGCCGCAGGAACACAGGCTCCAATGGGGCGCGGTGTGTGCTGGTCACTCACTGTTCATGCCCCATAGTCTGCTGCGCAAGGTCTACAAACAGGGCAACTGAGGCTCAGAGATGTTAGCTAGCATGCTCCGTGCCCTCAGCCTGCCCATCTCCAGTCAGATTTAAGTCCATTCCCTCCATTCCACCGAGAGCTTGGGCTACAGTGCGAGCCCCAGGGCTGTTTCCCAGTGGCAGTGGATGTGTGACATTCCTCACCACCCTCTCAGGCCTGGGTGTCCTCTGACATTTGGAGCAGGGCTCGATGTTGGAGGGAGGCCCTCTGGGGCCTGACAGTTAGCGGCACCCTCTGTACCCAGGAGGCACCAGAATCAGCTCCCAGTGGTGACCTTGCCAAGGTCACCAAAGAGCAAAATTACCCCAGTTGAGAACTTGAGAGGAACAGAGGAGGTTTCGATTTTTACAATTCATCTGTTAAGTGTGTTTCACACTTTGACAAGAATGACCTCATCCGCTCCCTCTCTTGCTCCTGCTCTCTGCTCCAGCCACACCAGCCCTGAACACCCAAATCATGCTCTCAACCTTAGGGCCTTTGCCCTGGCCATTCCTCTGTCCTCATCCTTTTCCTAGATATACACACGGGAAGTTCCCTCACTTCCTTCGCATTCCTACTCACACGCTATTTCATCCGTGAGGCCCTGGCACCATCTTTAAAAAACTGCAATCCCTCCAGCGCCTTCCTTTCTCCGCCCGATCACCAGCCCGTAGAGCCTCGGCTGCTTGGCAGTGTTTGCTTTCACTGGAGTACTTTTCACTGGATGATGTTTGCCCGTTTGCCCACATATCCTGGATTACAACCGCTTGGCACACCGCCTAGGCCACAGGAGGTGCTCAGCAAATATTTGTGGCATTACGTGGATGACGCAGAGGTTCTAGCAGGGCTGGCGGTAACAGGAGCCCTTTCTAGAGTAAGTCTTGTGGGAAAATCTTTACAAGTCAGCTCTACTTTATCCTTAACGCTGAGGTAGATCTTAAGGTTGCCCCTCTTTTGGAGGCGAGGGAGCTCAGTTCAGAGAGGCTCAGGTCACTTACACAGGCCACACAGCTTGGGAGTGGCGGAAGGGAAAACCAGTCAATCTGTGACTCGTGCCTTTGCAAACGGCTTCCAGAGGGGAGAAAGGACGCAGAGAGATGGCAAGCCTGTGGCTTGTGCTCAGGGGAGCCTGGGGACCTCAAGTGAAGGCTGCTGTCATCAATGGGTAGGGGAGGTTGCTGGCAGAGGGGACCCTGAAGAAGGCTTGGAGGGAGCAAGGGTTTTGGCAGTTGGACATGGGTACAGCTGGGTAGGGGAATTCTGAGATGGTTCATGGGGTTTGCCATCTCAAGGCACCTCTCATAGTGCATTTACCCTGCTGAGGGATTGACTGTCCAGCCTCATTTGCCCCACACCCAGCCAGCTCCCAGCTGATGGCCTCTGAGGTGCCAGGAACTCTTGCTAAAATTATCGTCCTCCCGTTGACTTTCCTAAACACACCTCTGTTTACCAGGTCATCCTGGCAACTAGGGGCCCAAAGCTGAGGCAGCAGAGGTCAGGTGGTGTGTGTGTGTGTGTGTGTGTGTGTGTGTGTGTGTGATGGGTGTGGTGACATGGACCCAGAAGTAAGGGGAAAGGCACAGCTACCTGTGTGGTTCCTAAGGAACCACTGGTAACATGGTCCAGGTCAGAAGGTCTGGTCTTTGTATCCAGGGGCTGTGGTCTGGAGGCAGTGAGGACAGGGGCTGATACAGTTGTCCTCTCTGGAGAAATAAGGGGATGTGAGGAGGAGCACTCTGGCTCCAGCTCTCTTGGGAGGTGGTGATGGGGCCACTCAGATAATAATTAGCTAATGCAAAGTCCCATGGCCAGCAAGTTAAACCTTGTCGGACAGTGATAACTCCACACAGGAAGAGGACAGAAGGGGATGCTACCGGACACCCCAGGTCTAGGGTGCTTCATGGCTAAATACTAAATATCACTAACTTCACAGGGTCTCCAGCCCAGGCTGGCCTTGAACTTCTGAATCTCTTGCCACCACCTCCCGAGTGCTAGGATTCCAGGAGTGTCAGCAAACATGCCATCACACCGAGTTCATGCAATGCCGGAGACTGAGCTCAGGGCCTTGAACATGCTGGGCAAGCACTCTACAAACTGAGCCACATCCCTTAAGGCAAGGCTTCATTTTTTCAGATTCGTTACACATATAATTTCATTTAGTCTAGGACACACTGTGAAATAAGTACCAACATATACTGTTTTTTCACATAGAGAAACAGAGGCAAGAAGTGAAGTTATGTGGTCCATGGTCAAGAAAATTTGGAGCTGGGGTCCAAGCCAGGCTCCTGGATGCCTCTCTGTCTTGCTGAGGAGGGAGGCAGGCCAGCAAGGGAGGGGTGTGGTGAGGCCAAGGCTGGGGCAGGGTGCCTGGCTTGTGCTCTGGGGCCAGGACTCACAGCTGGTCTGCTTTCCCCTCCCTGTGCAGTGGAAGAGGATGATGGAAGCTGTGAGGTGAACGGCCACAGGTACCTGGATGGGGAGACCTTTCAGCCCAATTGCAGGGTCCTCTGCCGCTGTGACGCAGGCGGCTTCACCTGCCTGCCGCTGTGCAGTGAGGATGTGCGGCTGCCCAGCTGGGACTGTCCACGCCCCAGGAGAGTAGAGGTGCCTGGGAGGTGCTGTCCTGAGTGGGTGTGTGACCAGGGAGTGACGCCGAGGATCCAGCGTGATTACACAGCCCAAGGTGAGTGAGTATAGGATAGGCCCAGGCCACCAAAGCCTCAGCTGCTGGGGTTCCAGATACACATATGGAACATATAATTATGACACTTAATACGTGTGTACAATCTATAATATTATGAACCCGTGATTGTGTGGATTTAGTAAAACACTGGGTAAAAGCTGAACCGGCAGGACTGGAGTTTGGGACACAGCCCAGGGCCAGGCAGAGGTACAGACACGACAGCTACATCTTTCTACACGCGCTTCAACTTTGGGGCTTTGGTGTCCCGATTCTTTGAAAACATTATTGTTGTCACATGAGTCTGACTGGAGAAGGTGACCAGGAAGTAAGGGCTGGTTCTGCGGATGCCGCCACATGCGGAAGGCAGGAGACGGGTGGATTGAAGAGATGGACACTGCGCTTTCCAACCCAGGGCTGGCCTTGCTTGCTGTGTGACTCTGAAAAACTTGCTGGAGTTCCCTGCCTCAGTTTCTCCACCTGTAAAGCAGAACTATTAAGAACACCCACCTTTTAGAACCGTGGCGAGGACAAAACGAATTAGATCGAGTGAATGGGTTGTAAAGAGGCTCTGGCCACCATTATCCCTGGCAGGGAATATGACACATTGAGTTAGGCACATAGGAGAAAGTCATCCAGCTCACCGTATGTATCCATGCCCTCCCATAATACTTGGAATTGAATCTACAGCCTTGCACACACTAGGCACATGCTCTACCACTGAGCCATGCTGCCAGACCTCCACTTACATAGTAAAAAGCAGGATAAAAGCCCTACCTCCCATCTGACCTCCATTGTGTGTACATGTACACAGGGCCATGAGCATACTTGCAGTTGGTCCTCTGTATCTGTGGATTTGACCAGCTGCTCATCAAAAATAGTTTTGTAATTGGGTCTGTACTGAGCATGCGCAAACTTTTTTATTCTGGAGACTCTTCCTTAGCAAAGATGGTTTCACAACTATTCAATAACATTCCCATTTTAGCTAGCCTTAGTGATCTGGAGGTGACCTGTGTGCCTAGGAGGGTGTGTTTAGGTTCTGGGCAAACACCTCACAACTTGGTACTCTTGAGTCGTCCTTGATCGGCTCTGACCTGCTCTGACACACCAACACATAACACCTGTGTGTACAAAGCCAGGTCTTCATCATCAGCACCAGTGACATTTGGGATGAGTCGCTCTTTGTGGTTGGGGGCTGTTGGGTATGCTGTGGGATGTAGAAAGACAACCTGGCCTCTACACTCTAGACATCAGTAGCAACCCCCTCCCCCCAAAAAAAAACCACCTCCTGTATACATTGACTGTGACAACCGAAAGATCTCTCTAGACTTCGCCAGACATGGTCTTGGATCTCAGGGCTAGAAGAAAGGACATCAAACATAAGAGGAGAATGGGAGGGGAGAGGTAGGCCATGGGGAGCCTGTCATCTTGGCCCTTCAGCATTCTTACCACCAGGTGGCAGTGCCACACAGTGTGTCCGTCCGTAGGACACCACGGGTCAGGGAGTAGGAAGGTAGAGAAAGAGGAAAGCGCCCTTTTCAGTTGTCTCATGACCAGTGTCAGCGGGGTGCCTTATGCGTAGACTCCCCAGCCATGGCTTATTCAACCCCAAATGTTAGGAAGTTTAGGAAGAAACTAAGGCTCGGCCGTCTCGCCAGGGTCCTTGTGATGGCTAGCAGGCCAGTGGACTTGCCTGCGGAGCCCCGACCTCTCCCTGTTCACCCTCTTCTTTCTAACCCCCAGGACACCAACTTTCCGGCCTTGTCACTCCCGCATCAGCTGATGTCCCCTGTCCAAATTGGAGCACAGCCTGGGGCCCCTGCTCAACCACCTGTGGGCTGGGTATAGCCACCCGGGTATCCAACCAGAACCGATTCTGCCAACTGGAGATCCAGCGCCGCCTGTGTCTGCCCAGACCCTGCCTGGCAGGCAGGAGTCGAAGCTCATGGAACAGTGCCTACTAGAGCCAACTGGGGACGGAGATGAAGAGGCTGCCACTCTCAGCAGGTGTCCCTAGGACCAGGCCCTGGACTGATGCTAGGTGTCCCTTTCTTGGCTGCAGTTAACTGTCCTGGTTGGGTTCGCTGTCCAGGGCATTGAGGGATGCCTGCTGTCTCTGAGGTAGGCGGAGCATATGACCAGCTCCGTTTCTCTAATTCAGTCTGGGATTCTGGGTCCTCCTGGCTAGTTCCATATCAAACATGCACATGGGACAGCTTTCTCTCCAAACTTCCCTGTACGAAAAGAACTTTTCAAGCTAAGCTGTGCTGGGCAAGCCTGGCCATCATGCTGGGGACAATGGCGGTGACGGGGTAGATTGCCTGAAACTCCCAATTTCCTTCTTGAACTTCTGTGCACTTGTCCCCAAAGTCAACATTATGGGTGGACTTGTGAATCTGGCTTCCCTGAGAATACCCTGCCTGCCCGGGAAGAATTCAGTGGCAGAATTCTCTGTGAACATGAAGAGATGAAATCATGCTGTCCCGAGGAGCACCAGCAAGATCCATGGACTTCACTTTGTATTTGTAAGAACACACATTTCTTAAGCACTTGAAAAATAGAGGTTCACAGCTCCACACTTCTAGTGTCCTGTGTTATCGTGTCAAAACAAAACAAAACAAAAAATGACCTAAATATAAAAGTTACATCCTCTCCCATGGTCCGTTTGTGTTTATTTTAAAATAAAAGTGGAGACTGAGGTTGGTTGGTAAAGTGTTTGCCAGGAAAGCTTGAGAACCTTGGATGAATCCCAGAACCTACATACAAAGACCAGGTATGGTGGGGCACCCTTATGATACCTATACTGGGGAATCGGAGGCAGGAGGATTCCTAGGGCTCCAAGGCCAGTCAGCACAGCCTGCTTAGTAAATTCCAGGCCAGTGAGAGACCTGCTTCAAAAAACACAGTGGAGAGCTCCTAAGGAACAATGCCTGAGGTCCTACACACACACACACACACACACACACACAC